AGGGGGAGCCGCGGCAGCGTGGCCGTGCGCGCGCCCGCGCCCTCGCCCCCGCCAGGGAAGATGGAGGAGGACGAGGAGGACGCGATCGCCATGGTCCCCAAGGAAGAGCCGGAGGACATGGACTTTCTCTCCGGGCTGGAACTGGCCGATCTGCTGGACCCTCGGCAACCGGACTGGCACCTGGAGCCCGGGCTCAGCTCGCCCGGGCCCCTGTCCTCGTCCGGCGGAGGCTCGGAGAGCGGCGGCCTCTTGCGGGGGGACGACGACGACGAGAGCGCGGCCGCGGAGATGCAGCGCTTTTCTGACTTGCTGCAGAGGCTGCTGAACGGCATCGGAGGCTGCAGTGGCGGCGGCGGCGCCGGTGGCGAGCGCGGTAGCGCCGAAAAGAGGCGGAGAAAGTCCCCGGGAGGAGGAGGCGGCGGCGGCGGCACCAACGACAACAGCCAAGCGGCGGCCAAGAGTCCCCGGAAGGCAGCGGCGGCCGCGGCCCGTCTCAATCGACTCAAGAAGAAGGAGTACGTGATGGGGCTGGAGAGTCGAGTCCGGGGACTGGCTGCCGAGAACCAGGAGCTGCGGGCCGAGAACAGGGAGCTGGGCAGACGCGTGCAAGCACTGCAGGAGGAGAGTCGCTACCTACGGGCAGTCCTCGCCAACGAGACGGGACTGGCTCGCCTGCTGAGCCGGCTGAGCGGCGTGGGACTGCGCCTGACCACCTCGCTCTTCAGGGACTCGCCCGCCGGTGACCATGACTACGCCCTGCCGGTGGGGAAGCAGCCGCCGGAGCTGCCAGAAGAGGACGACGCGGCGGGAGGAGTGTGTCTCCATGTGGACAAGGATAAGGTGTCGGTGGAGTTCTGCTCGGCGTGCGCTCGGAAGGCGTCGTCTTCTCTTAAAATGTAGGGTCAAGTAGTCTGCTCTTTATCCGCGGTTACCCCCTTCTGCTCCCTTACACCATGTCAAACACCTTAGTGGGACATCTTCACCGGACACATTTCAGAGGCGGAAAAAAAAAGTAATATTAAATCTTTTAAGTGTTTAGCTAAAACGCATGAATGTGACACTGTAACCAACTCCTAATGATAACCTGTGACTATTAAATCTCTCTGACAGTTTCTTTTTTAGGTGATTTCCTTCCTGCCAGGCTCCGTTGTAGGGGTTACAGAACAGTCGTTCCCGCCTCCCAACCTGGTAAGGATCCATCTCTTCACGTAACGCTCATGCTCTGCTGCTTAGTCTGCTTTAATGGGCAACATCTCAATTTGTGTGTGTGTGTGTGGTATATTTTTCGTTTGTTTCTTTTTTTATTGAAAGGTGGGAGGGGAATTTTCATTTGGGCCCTGTCCACCCTGGAAACAGACTTGTGCTGGTCAACGATGTACTTAAAGTTGCTTCTGGTTGAAATAGCTGTTAAATGTGTCCCCTTGTTCAGAGTTGCGTGTCCCTAGCTCATCTGTCCCCAGTGTGGACATGGCCTTGGAGGACATCGGTTCCAACTGTACACTGAAACCTGCTAATAGAGATACAGTTTGGAGACAGTGAAACAGGTGAAGTGAATGGAACTTCCGAGTTGTACCCGGTGCAAATTGGAATTCCAATTGTAGAGCAACTTCAGAGGTTGACATAAGTATTTGAGGCATGCACAAATGTGGTATTTTTCTGGAGATGACAAATCTCTTAAAATACTTAAGAATGCCTTCTAGTTTACAGTAGAAAATACAGAAATACAATCTATATAAGATTCTAATATTTCATCTCTTAAGTTGGAAATTAACATACCCTTCAGATTTCTGGAAGAATGATTAATGAAATGTCTGAGGACCAGCACAGTAATTATCTATCACTGAGTATGAAGAACTTGTTGGAAGCATTTATTTTTGTTGTATTAAAATTTAGGCTAAATTTGTATATGACTAGATATTGAAGGTTATGAAATGTGAATGAAAACATGTAAAGTGAGGCTTCACAAAGAATCTTATTTTCCATATTTCTAAAACTTCACATTTTAAAATTAAATAGTTCTGGCCACTTAATGATATGATTGATACTGTTTTTTCCAAGATGGAAAGTATTCTTCCCTTGAAATGCTGTTTATTGTCCACTTGTCTAAATCTGTGTTATCATGTCCTAACGTGCAAGAGACATTAAATTCTTTGTGAAACATCACTGTTTGATAAAGGATATACGTATTTAGCATCCTTGTTTTTCTTTGTGCTAAAGTGGATACAGCTGTTGGGGCAGAAGAGACGGGACCAGCTGCTGGCCACATTTCCTGCTTTATTTTAAAAGGTAGTATAAGAAATAAGGAAGAAGAGGTAATATCAGGGCTTCTGCTGTCTTTTATTTTTAAAATGTTCATAATTAAGTATTTTCCAGCAGTCCAAAGATGTAAGTTATCTTACACGTAAGATGTTTTCTTTTGTTATTTGTTTATGGAAATGGAATCTTGTTCATGCACAACTAACTGTAACTGTTTTATTGCTAGATAATATGATTTGAGACTTAAATTAGTCTCTGGTTTTCAGTATATCACATTTTGTAAAGTTATCCACTGCACTTGAGCATGAATGGGTAGTAGCCAATCTCTCACAACTTGGAGTGATGGACCTGCTTCTTCAAGGGCAGGAACAAGCCCCCACAATGCAGCTGCATGGATTTTAGTGCCTACTGAATTATATATATATACATAGAGATAAACCAAAAGTAGTTGGAAAATTATTTGAAATGACTAATTTGTGCTCCTTCTGAAATATGTTAAATGTAGCTTTTGAAACAGAAGCCTTGAATTGAAATTTAATACTTGAACATTTTTGTATATATTTCTTTGTATATAATTTTGTGCAGTACCAATGACAAAAATATGGTGTCATAATAAAATCAGGTTTGTTGATCTTTCAGTTATGGGCTCAAAGAATTTATTCATCTTTAGCATGACATTGGGAAGTAGTGGATGAAAATAGGGAAAATGAATCTTGGTAATACAGACTGTGATCTTAGTCAAAAGGTTCTGGAAGCAGTAAGCTTGTTTTCCCAAGAATTACAACATTTCTGTGGACTGTTTTCCTAACATCTGCTTTTCCTGCATTCAAGGTGTGGGTTTGAGAGATAACTTTCTGAATTGGGATGTTTTGAAATTCCAGTACAGAATGTAGAATGTCATTTTATAAATGGCAGTTTGGGGAATTAGAGCTCTTGACAGTGGCAAGATTAGAATGCCTGATTTTAAAGCTGCTTTGTTAGGGTCCACATGTTTTAGTAAATGTCTTCTCTAGTTCCATTTCATTGTTCTTTCCTAGTTTGGGCAACAATGTTTTTTGTCATTTTTTTGTTTTTTTGTTTTGTTTTGTTTTTTTGTTTTGTTTTTACATCAACTCATGGTCTTGTTTTTACTTGGTAACTGCATGTATTTAGGACCGATCAGGGGCTTTAAATAAATTTTATCATATTTATGTGTAAGCACATTTTTCTGTAAATGTTTGGGCTTCTCAATTTACAACAGTTGTTTAATTCCATTGTGTAGTAACAGTATCTTAAAGTGTCCTGTTCACTACTTGTTAATTAAAAATTATGATTAATATAAAACTGTTGTCTTACTATTTTTAGAAATTGTGTTGTGAATAGTTAGTATTTTGATAGAGAGTTCTGGAATATAAAATAGATTAAAATTTTCAGGTTCCATTGTATTTAATGTGAGGGTTGAGAACAAATTAGTATTTGGGGAACTATTTCGAGTTTGATTTCTGATTTGTACCTGTGTGGTAAAAATGATAGAAGACCTAAAGATCATAGCTTTTTAATCCCTGTCTTCCTCTGGAGGTCAGTAGTCATACATGAATTAACTAACACATATTGGCATAGTATTTCTATAATGGTAACTTAAGTTTTATCCTTTTTTAACCAGGCTTAACTAAAAAATACATGTTTGTTAAAAATGTAGTCACACCTCTGATATATCCAACAAAGTATTCAAAATATTTTAAATATCTGTGCGTTTTATACTCGCTAAATTAATCTCTTTCTCTTCTCTTTAAACAGCTTAGCAGTATCTGCAAAAACGAATCTTTTCCTACAACCTGTTAACTGACTGGACTGATGGTAACAGTAATTGTGGGAGCCATGTCGGTCAAAAATTTGGCATCTGCTGCAAAACATGAATGCCATTTCCAAGTTACCAAATTACTTCTATACTGATTACACTTTCCAGAAACGGAGATATGAAAAGATTCTCTGGAATGCTTGAAAGACTTAATAGAAATCCATGAGACTAAGTTAATTTTGGAACAAAAATACATCTTTTTGTCCTTTCATGGCAGTAACACTAAATTTATTGCATACTTTTTCAAAAAAAATTGTAACCATTGGAGAAGAGAATTACAGTGTTTTATCAAGAAACATTAGATTTTTACACAGTCAAGAACACATTCTGTGGAATTAGATTTAGTGGGTTAGAGTGACATAAATAGGCCAGCAGTGGTCACAGAACTTACCATGAGTTTGTATTTCTGGAATGTGAAAAACTGCTTTGGAAGACAGACACCTTGCTGAGTAGAATAAAGTCCTCAACTTAAAGGGTAGTGTTTTAAAATAGATGCTTTGATTGTATATTTTTTTAAAGTGACTATGATAATGTGTGGGTGGTATTGCCATTTAGGGTAACATGAGCTTGTGTGCAATCCCAGGTTTGGCATTTTGGACATTGAGTACTTGATCCTGTTTGAATGTGTTGAGGTTTCTGATGAATGACATAGTTTCTACTGTTCTGTTAAAATTTCTGTAGTGTTTGTTCTGTAAGAAGGATCTTCATATTTTGGATGATAATGGCTTATTTCATATTACAAGTAAAAAAACCATTCAGAACCCAATCATATTTTCATTATTGTTGAATTATGCTAATACATTTTCATCTGTTTTAGACTAAGTCATTTTATTTTTGGCTCATGTGGGAAATAATGCAGATAGAAGAGGAAGTTGATGGGAAGTAGTGTTATTACACTATAACCATGATATTTAAGATCCATTCAGGTCCTCTCCTTGTGTGTGTTCAGTGTCTGTAAAGCCAAAAAGTAAAGGAAATTCCTACAGGCTTCTATTAAAGAAGCAGATGCTCCTATAGCCGGAGGGTTAGGTACTGTTACTTTGGTGCCAAGACGCAGAGTGAATAATTCACTAGAAATGCGTATCTTAAGAATACAAAGTTATGTGGTTGAGGGATTTTGAGGGTAGAGATCAAGTGCTCACAGATGCAGTCAGTTTTTTCAAATAAATGATTCTTCAAAGTTGAATAAGTAATATTCGTGTTTCCCCCCTCTTTGTATATGTTATAAGACCTACCTTTATATTTTTTAATGTGTTCCTGGGTTCTTCCCAACCCCATCTATATATTAGAAATTTAAAAGGCCTTCCATTATGACCACTACAGAACTTTTCTTATATTTGAATTTACATATCATTATGTGTGGGTTCAGTATTTAACCAGTTATCCTATTTTACAATACTCCATATAATTTCTGTTGATTTAAACTTTCTGAAAATATTTTATGTTAACTAATTTATAGATCTAGTCACATTATGTTTGGAGCATTGTATAATTTTGTCAGTGTAAAAAATTAATTTTATTATAGCTTAAATGTGTTTACAAATTTTTATTATCCTGTTGGGGTCAAATTTCTAGACCCTTCTGGCTCTTAACTGAGTTTGGATTTTAATATGTGTATACAAACACATATGTAGACACATACATAATATTTCACATATAATAAATAAGAATATTCTTTAAAACCATGTACCTGGACAGAGAAGATTGAAAAATTCTAAATATTTTTAGTGGCTTGTTAACTTTAATTGGACTGAAATCTTAATCATTTTTCTCTGAGGTCTGAGCTAGGAAGGGCTCAATTCCCCTAGGTTTAATGTTCCTCACAGTTCTATCTCTGCCTTCTGAACAGGGTTTTTGTAGATTTGTAGCAGTAGATTAAGCATTTACTGCTTAGTTGCCCATTTCTACTAGTTTAAAGAGGATTTGACTATGTAGCAGAGGAAAGAGTTCAGGATCCTTCTGTGATAGAAACAGCTAACCATATGTATAGTTAGTGTGTTAGGAGTTCAGTCCTGGGACCATTTCAAGCACAGTAAACAGTTTGTACTTACTAAGTAACATGGTTTCATCACTGAATTTTGAGTTACTTTAGTTGATTATACCATCTGTATACCTAAGGAATCTAAATTAGCAGTTAAATTTAAGGGTTGTGTTTTTACTTTGATCAATTGAATTACTCATTAAAAGAATGTAGGTGGACAGTTTTGTATCACAAAGCTTTTACCTTTGCTAATATTTCTTGTAAAAATAGGCAATTGTGTACAAAATACATTTTGTCTTTGCAGTTCTAAAAGTTAAGCATATGAAATCATATGACTAACCCAAGGGAAGATAACAGTAAACTTTTTTCCTTCCCTCATAATTATACTTAAAAAAAATAGAATAAAGACTATTTCATGTACTCTTTGAAGGAACAAATCATCTTGCATTCCAGAATCTGTGCTAAATTTCACTTACAGCTTAATAGCAGCCATGTTTTGTTATTGATGGAGACAAGGCATTGCAGTGTATGTAGGTCAAGCTATTGTCAAACTTGGGACAATGGCCCTGCCTTTTCCTCCCAATTGTTAGGCATGCCTGGTAGTTTGCTTTACACAGAAGCCTATTTCACATGCAAAGCTGCCTTTTCAAAATCAACAAGTCACAGTTGATTGAAGGAATAGTTAAGATAAACTTATGAACGAAACTACTTAGAAACTACTTAGTATGGTTTTAGAGATGGTTACACTCTTCTGTGGTGACTAGCTGCTTTATGGAGTACTGATTGATCTAGTGTGCATTACTGAGACTGTGTCCACAGCTCGTGATCTCACGCTTATAGCTAGTGGCTCATATTAACAGTACGGGTATTTATCATCACAGAAATTGGACAGTGTGCATTCAATGATGCCATAGTAGTTGTTTAAACAAGAAGGCTACAAAGCCCCTGGGAAGAAGACAGATGACTCCAGAACCATACATGATCTAAGAAAATGACTTCACGAGCATACTTCAGAAAGTAAAAATGGGACGGTTGGCTGTGAGCGAGGTTACTCAGGAAGGTAGTGAATTATAGGCTAACAGGCTTAGCACCATACATGGGGGAGAAAAGCTCAAGCCTGAGAGTCTAAAGAACTTAAAAAGGTGATTTTCTAAACTCTGTAGCTCCCAAGACGTAAGCTGGGATTGATCCTTTGAGTAAGATGAGTTGTACTCATGGAAACAGCCTGAGCAGAGAATAAGAAAGCATAAGGAACATGCTGTATTTATAAGTCAAAACAAAACAATAACCAAAAGCCACCTTTCCTTCCCGTTTGGCTTTGTTCATAATTGCTATGTAGTTATTTCTCTTCTTGGCTGGAGACCAAACTAAATGTTAATGTAAAGGAGTGGTACTGGCAGTGGTTAAGAAACAGTATTGGGCAAACTAGAGAGATTATGTTCTTTTTCATTTGTTTTTTTTTTTGAGCTAGGAATTAAACCTAGGTCCTCTTGTATGACAAAACAACCATTCTGCCACTAACTTACATCCCCAGCCTTAAAACTATGCCTCTTTAGTTTTTATTTTTGGGGTTCTAACTTTTGTTGCTCCATAGTCTTTCTTGCAGGTCAGAGTCATCTTATAAAAAATTACAAGTCTGTATTTTTAATATAAGAGACAGATTATTTTATTTCTGTTGTACATATTTGCTTCAAGTCAATGCATTTCTGAGCCAGGTTCAGGTAGCTGAAGGGCCTTTATGAGGAGATTATATTGTTTGCCCCCAAGGTATGCTCCAAACACAGTCTGAAGTATAATGGGAAATAACATCTTTCTACAGA